CAAGTACCGAAATATAAATATCGGTGCTTGTACTCGATACCAAAAAAACGGTATCAGTGCATTCCTACCAAAAACCCATTAACCAGTGGACATCTTGTGCCTATTGCTAATCTGTCCATTCCTGAAAACGATTTACAAAATGCACCTGTATAAAATATGGAGAATGTGGAAGTGATCTCCACAAGAAGCAACATGGGAATGCTCCAGGTGCATAATAGCATCAAGTGGTTATTTGAGTGCTACCTACCTTACTATACATTCAGTTTTTAGTTTCTTTATGCTACATTACAGCTGCAGGGCCAACTTTAAAGCACAAAATAAATGAACATTATCATAGATTATCAAGCACCGTAAAATTTTGGTACACACAGTTTCTTTTGCCAGATGAAGTTCCTGTGTACTCTGGGAACCATCTAACTTGTTGATAATGTGGTATACATACACTGTTTTCTATATTGGTACCTAAGCACCCCCTTCCCTATATGTATGACCTTTAATGACCTATTGAAATTTTGTGATGTAAACTGGGGATGCGCCGATACTGGGCATTTTCATGAGTGCTCGTGAAAATCCCTGATGCTAAACGCCGATACCAGCGCTTTAAGTTCTTTAAACTCAAGGGGCTGCCGTAAAGGTCCCAGTCTTGCTGGTGATCTCATGGCAGCCTTCTGGAGACCATGTGGCAGCCTTCTGGAGACCTCCTAGCACTGCTTCTGTCTCCTGCACCCTCCTGCCAGACCCTCCGCATTCCCCCAGAGACCTTGCGGACCCCTCCTGAGACCCTGCAGACCCCTCCCGAGACCCTGCAGACCCCTCCCGAGACCCTGCGAACCCCTCCTGTGACCAGCCAACACTAAGCACTGTTTATACTTTTATTTTTACTTAGTGTTGAATATTTGTGAGATAGGTATGTTCCCACAGAAAGGAGAAATAAGTCTGGACTAGTAAAGGTTTTCTGAATTACTACACCCTCTTCAGTTCTGTATAATGCTGTATAATGTGTTGCTGGGATTAGTATTCCTCTATAGCTGATGGAAATATAATACCATCAGTTTTAGAGGACTACAAATCCCAGCAATACATTATACAGCAATGCTGAATGGCAACCAGCTAAAGAGGAAAATAAATCCCAGCAATACATTATACAGCAATGCAGAATAATACAGTAATACCTCGGTTCACGAATGCTTCTGTTCGCGAACAGTTTGGTAATTTTTTGCTTCCGTTCACGAACTGCAAATAAGGTGACGGACATGACCACGGCCATCTTCTCCGCTCTGACACGTGGTTGTGGCTTCCTCTAGTCGAGATTGCGGGTGGCAGACAGACCTGTGAAGTACTGTACAGTATTATTCAATCCAGCATGGCTCCAAAGAAAGTGGAGAGCAAACATGGTGGAAAAAAGAAAGTGCAGAGCGGTAATGAAGGTGACAAGAATGTGCAGAGCGGTAATGAAGGTAACCAGAAAGTGCAGAGCAAGCATGGTGGTAAAAAGAAAGTGCAGAGCGGTAATGAAGGTGACAAGAACGTTCAGAGTGGTAATGAAGGTAAGCAGAAAGTGCAGAGCAAGCATGGTGGTAAAAAGAAAGTGCAGATCGGTAATGAAGGTGACAAGAACGTGCAGAGCGGTAAGGAAGGTAACCAGAATGCGCAAAGCAGTAATGAAGGTGACAAGAATGTGTAGAGCGGTAATGAAGGTAACCAGAATGTGCAGAGTGGTAATGAAGGTGACAAGAATGTGCAGAGGGGTAAAGAAGGTGACAAGAATGTGCAGAGCGGTAATGATGGTAACAAGAAAGTGCAGAGCAAGAATGGTAAGAAGAAGGTTTTGAAGAAAATAACCATTGAATTGAAGAAGGAAAATGTAGAAAAGGATGAGCGTGGTGTTCAAGTGACTGATCTGGCCTCGGAGTACAAAATGGCAAAGTCGACCATCTCGACTATTTTGAAGAATAAAGATACCATCAAAGGAGCTGATGCAGCAAAAGGAGTAACAATGTTGACCAAGCAGAGGATACAAGTACTGGAAGAGGTGGAAAAACTTTTGTTAGTGTGATTGAATGAGAAATAGCTGGCAGGTGATAGTGTTAGTGAAGCTATGATCTGTGAAAAAGCCAGGAAATTGCAGAGTGATTTACTGCAGCAAAACCCCTCTACAAGTTCATCTAGTGATGAATTTAAAGCCAGTAGAGGATGGTTTGATAAATTCTGCAAGAGAAATGGCATCCACAGACATGGTGAGGCTTCCAGTTCTGACAAGGCTGCTGCAGAAGCCTACAAGAAAGACTTTGCGGAATTCATGAAGGCAGAAGGATACGTTGCTCAACAAGAGTTCAACTGTGATGAAACAGGGCTCTTTTGGAAGAAGCTACCGAACAGAACCTATATCACGCAGGAGGAAAAGGCACTGCCGGGGCATAAGCCCATGACGGACAGATTGACCCTTATGCTGTGTACGAACGAAAGCGCCGATCTGAAGATTAAGCCACTACTGGTGTACCATTCCCAGACCCCTTGTGCATTCAAGGAACAGAACGTGAACAAGGCCAGACTGCCTGTCATGTGAAGGGCCAATGCGAAAGCTTGGGTCACAAGGCAATTGTTAATGGAATGGCTGAAGGAGGTGTTTGCCCCCACCATTAAGAAATATCTTTCTGACAACCAACTACCTGAAAGGTGCCTTCTGATAGACAATGCCCCAGGCACACCCTCCAGCCTTGGTAGATGATATGGACGCTGAGTGTGACTTCATAAAGGTCAAGTTCCTTTCCCCCAACACGACACCTCTTCTGCAGCCCATGGACCAGCAAGTGATTTGCAACTTCAAGAAGCTGTACATAAAAAAGCGCTCTTCACCAGGTGTTTTAATGTCACTGAAGAGACATCCTTGACTCTGAAAGAGTTTTGGAAGAAACATTTAAATGTCCTCCACTGCATCAACCTCATTGACAAAGCCTGGGAAGATGTTACGTACCAGACCTTAAACTCAGCCTGGAGGAAACGGTGGCCAGAATGTGTCACTGAATGTGACACGGAAGAGTCTGATGCACAGGAAGTGGAGTAGATTGTGTCCATGGGCAAGAGTACTGGTCTGGACGTCGATGGTGCAGACATAGAGGAGCTTCTTGAGGACCATAAGGAGGAGGGAGGAGGTTAGCAGTGATGTGATAAAATCCATTATGGAAAAATGGAATGAGTGCCAGGATTTATTTGAGAAGCACCATCCCAACATAACTGTAATGAACAGAGTGTTGAATCTGATGAACGATAACGTGGTCTCTCATTTCCAGAGGGTTATGCAGCGCAGGAAAAAACAAGTGACATTAGACAGATTTTGCGCCAAAATTGACCCTGCAGCTAAGAGACAAAGAAGAGAGGAAACCCCTGAAGGAGATCTCCCCGATGTCCTTATGGAGGGGGACTCTCCCTCCAAACAATAACCTCCTCCCCACCCACCTTCCTGTCCTCCACGCCAGAAGTCGCCTCAAGAAAGGTTAGTGTTCACTCTCTTCATATTGTACTGTACTTAACTTTGTTTCATATTTTTGTGGTTAAATTTTTTTTACATATGGATCAGAGCGGATTAACCTTATTTACATTGAACCTTATGGGGAAATTTGATTCAGTTCGCGACCAGAATCGTGGAACGAATTAAGTTTGTGAACCGAGGTACCACTGTACTATTATTCTGCATTGATATATAATGCATTACTGGCATTTGTAGTCCTCAATAGACGGTTGACATTCGGCATTGCTGTGTAATGTATTGCTGGGATTTGTAGTACTCTATAGACACTGCCATTCTGCATTGTTGTATCATGTATTGCTGAGACTTGTTGCTGTTCCTATTTTACATCCTCTTCCTTGATCAGACTTGCTATGTCTATGCAAGTGTCCAGACATCTGTTGAGTCACTAAATTGGAACAAATATGCATAATTGTTCCAGACTTAAAGTAACAAAGCCCGAAACCACCAGGCAACTAGTATTCTTAGAAAGTAGAATGGAAATGGCAGCACCAACCTTTCTCTAACTACATGTTTCCTTAAAACCTAACAGAGCACCTGATCAAAAATGTTATATTTTCCTGGTGGCAGCTCAGCACCTGTTTTGAATTTTATATATCTTCTATCTTTACCTTCTGGCTGTCTTGACCCTCTGCTTATTTTGCAAATGCATTTCTTTAGCAGGCTGAACTTCCAGTCTGTTCCAACTCTGTTTTTTGAAGGTTGCACTCTTCTTCTGTCTGCAGCCCAAGATCCTCAACTTCAGTGGTTCTGGAGAAGACCAGACATTGCTAGAGCTTGCTTCTTTAGGGCTGGTGCACACCTAGGCGACACAGCACAGGAAACGTGCACAATTCTGTGCGGATTGCCGCGCGGTCAGGGGTCGCCCAGGTGTGCACAGATCACGCTGTGGGTGCCAAACAGCCGCGCGTCATGTATCGCAGAAAGGTACAAGTACCTTTTTTCTGCAATACACAACACGCGGCTGTTTTAGCCATGATAGTGTTCAGAAGCACGAGCGGAATCGCGGCGGGAAACCACGAGATCCGCCAGTCACGACTAGGATGCCATTGGTAAAATAATGGCACCCACAGCGCGATCGGTGCACACCTGGGCGGCAATCCGCGTGATATCGCGCTTGATTGCCGCGCGGTGGGGTGTCGCCTAGGTGTGCATCGGCCCTGAAGAGAAATCCATAACAGTATTCAATAATATTTATACTTCATTAATACTTTGGAAGGAGAGGTTTACTTCAACAAATGATATTTAGCAGTGGTTAAAAAAACCATAGTAAAAATTTAGCGATGTTGGAATTTTTCAATATTATATCACATCTGCAAAGTGGCACTTAATAGTTTAATCATTTGATATGTAACATACCTTAATATCTACAACACTGATCCACCTTCACATTTAGTGAGCCTTCATATAAATATCCAGATTTTATTTATACCTAAAAAAAATTATATTTCATATGCCAAACTTCCAATACTTAAGTATATTTGATGTTCTTACAAAGCAGTTGCTTTCACCATATCACTTTTTTCAAATACCACCTTATTGGAGAAATATATAGCTATCAATCCAAAGGCTGCTGCTGAGGCAACATAAGCTGTGACTGTTTGTGTCTTTTGTACAATAAAACCCATGAGCAGAGAAGGGATCACCTGTGACAGAAGAAATGCGCTGTCAAGGATTGCAATGTCCAAGCAGATCCCATGGCTTGGTGCTGCCGATTCTTCAACTGTATGAGACCCATCACCGGATTGACCAAGACACAAGGAAGAAGAATGAGATGAGAAAATGGTAACACCATTACTGTTTGTTGCCTCCTTGATGAAAACAGACTTTATTTCTTTTTCAGTTGCTTCATCCTCTGTCATGTCCTTATATTTAGGGAGAAACACCTGTTGAATAGAACAACAACACATTTTTTTTCTTCTCATTTAAAGAGTAGCACAGTTAACAGCAAGACATGTTTTTTTCCTTTGCAGTTTATAGAATAGTGTAATGTATAAATAAATATGCTGTATGTAGCCCACCACACTGCAATCCACTACAATATGGTGCTATAAAGCACTCAGTATAGCACTTTTCAGCATAACTGTAAATTATAGTGGCAACTAGCCTTTGCTTGAACCTCATATTACTTTTTTTTCGGGTCAAACTCATGCTCGACCTCAAACTGAAGCTCATTCATAGTTAGCTCATCTTACCACTGCTAGCAAAACTCACAAAGTGCACTAGGCACAACCAGTGTGGAAACTCGAATACTGCTCAAGGTCTTCTAAGATAATAATTTGGTAATACGTTTCTAATCTTTATTGAAATATCCTGTTATGTGTGATGCATCTATATTTTTGTCCAAAGACCTGTAGCACACCTTACCGGACTTCCCATGAGAAAAATGGGTGCTCGCAATGACTGCTGATGGCCCGCATCAAGTAAAGATTGTTGTAAAGAGATGTCACCAGCACTCCAATATGACAAACACGTCAAAGTTTAGCGAATCTTCGTTTTTATTCATCAGAACGATTCACTTTAAGCCTGATGAAGGGGACCCTGCGCAGCCCCAAAAGTGCTTGATTCTACAAAGTGACTTCTACAAAATAAAAACGAAGATTCACTAAACTTTGACGTGTTTGTCATATTGGAGTGCTGGTGGCATCTATATTTTTGACACTATATTATATGTCATTGTGCTGAACATTGAAAAACCTAAGTTTTCCAAATTTGTTTTATAAATACGAACATAAAGTACATGGAGTTCAGTACCTGGGACAATTACAGAACAGCAGAAACATTCTGCACTCCAGCATTAGAGGATGTCCAAAGAAAGCATGATAGAAGAAAAAAATATCACGAATGGGGTACATGAAGAGAAATATACACTGGAATAATAGAAAAACTTTACGAATATCTCATATTTAAGTATTTTTCTCCTAAACATGAAAAGTCTCAGTCCAGCCAAACTGATATTTCAGTTTTTGGTTAATGATAAGGAGTTAAACCATGTTGGTGAGAAAAATTAAAGTGAATATTAAACCCTATTGCTATTTTACACAGTTCAGCAGCACAATGAATTCAGAAGGCTACACTTACTTTTCGTGAACTTCTATTGTCGCTGCCCCTGCTTTCCTGTGTGTGTGTCTCCTTACCCATGCAGGGTTCTATGGAAACACCCGTTCATGTACGCTCTCGTGGTCAGACTACAGCTGTTACATGAAGATGCTGCCTGCGTCGACATGCACAAGCATGCGAGAGATAATCACACAGAGGGCACACCTTCACTGCTCCTCCATAGCAAGTAGTTGACAGTGGCACCCGAGTTTTCCTCTCCAGCTGATAGAATAAAGAGCCATTCATGCATGCTGGTGCAGTAAATAATGGGACATGTAGTCTCAATGACTGCTGAATATTGATGTTATGAGGGCACGCTCCCTGAACAAGTGGCCACAGGAAGCAATAAAGTAAATACTTCTGTAAAATTGTTATTACTGTTTGTGACCCCATTGAGATTTCACCTTCCTTTCTGTCCATCCAACAGCCTGTGACAGCATGAAAAGAATTGGGGAAAGGGGAAAAGGTGTCACAAAATAAATTATAAACCTGATAGAGGTCCTTACCCTTTCACATTTTATTTAAAAAATTTGTTATTTCTGACAGAAAGTTAGAGTAAATCTACTGAACAGGGAAACACACTGCAAAAGAAACCCGACATGGGTTTCATGCCTTCCCTACTATAACCAAAACTAAAAAAGTTAGGTTTTCATTTCATGCTGATTGATATTTCCTGCTTGATCTGCTGTGTCTTGCTGCAGCACACATAATACCATTGGTAATTGTTAACACAGTGCTATTGTTGTTTACGTAAACTAAATGCCAATAATTAGAACAAATTAGTGTTACAGCTAAATCCCATATGGTGAAACATAAAAATAAAGCATGTAATATTTAGTTAGGTGAAAACCATAATGTTCACAGTGAAAAAATACAATAGTGTAAAAAAATGTGTTTAAACCACTGAAGGGTCTTCAGAGAGACCTATTCAGTGTTTAATAAATAACATTTAAAGCATAAAGCTACTCAACTGATACAATGTGGCAGGAATACCCAATAGTGACCTATTCAGTGTTATTAAATAACCTTTAAAGCATGAAGCTCCTTAAGTGATACAATGTGACAAGATCACAATGAAATGAAACACTAATACATCATAGCAATCTCAGTACTATTTTTGGTTGCATTTTAATTGCTGAACTAGCAGTTTTTTTTATCCTTTAAAAATTGCATAATTTTGGTCTTCATTCTAGTTACATAGTACTGCTGGCCGTAGCTAGTTATCATAGTGTTCCGGCACAAGGGGGCTTGTTTTTATTTCTGCCCAATACCACGTTATCTAAAACTTGACTGCACTACTATACAAACTGTAAGATATATAAAGGATGTGCTAGGGATACCCATAGACAGAATCTCTCAAGGTTGAAAGAAGATAGATCTTCCACAACATTTTGAATTTATGGCTTAAACCTCTACGAGCTGTAACAATCATTTGTAACCCCTGTGTGCCTAGATTATCTTAAAAGGTGCTTGGACTGTTCATAATGCTGACCTATTGTACATTATGTTCTTAAATTGAAAGGCAAACCATGAATTACTGGCCACTGAAAGGCAAAGCTCCATGAACATAGTGATTTGCTCTGACAAGTTGTTGACTTACCTGACGGTTATGGTGATATAATGAGGTGAGAGTGTAGGGCAGGATCTGAAGCACAGAGAATGGGATTCCTGTTATGGCAGCTGATGCTGTTACTATGATAACATCACTAGAGAAGCATATGATCATTGCAGCAGCAGGTAGACAAGAGACACCAGCTAGGTAGACCATTTTTGTTCCAAATGTCTTAACCAGGTAATCCATAGAGGACGAAAAGGCTATTGATGTCACAGATTGAAGGAAGAGGCCCAGACTTCCCATCCTGACCCCTAGTAGAGGTAACATAAACAAAAATAAAGCAAATGCAATGTTACATGGGGGGGCTAATAGGTATACACTGACATTAAAGAATATTTTAGGAAAAACAATGGATGAAAAAGACATGGCTAACAGAGAGATTAACACAGTTTTTTTTGTTGATATTTACTATTTTTGATGAATAAATTTACTGACCTTCATCATATCGAAGTCTAGCTTCTGTTCCTGGTTCTGCTATTGGCACACCATGATACAGTCCTTCTCCAACAAAGTCGGTATAAAACATTGTAAATGTCATAAAGCCCATCCAGGAGAATAGTTGTGCCACAAATAGGCGCCACAGAGCAATAGGCATCCTGCAACAAAATCTCCTAAATCGTGGAACCAAAGCACATGCACCTCTTAATGCAAAAACTGTACGCCAAAAATTGTATGGTAGAGTCCAAAACTGGCACATTTTAAGGCAAGTCCTCCACCTTCCTGTGTGCTCCAAAGAGATATCCTGATGTCCGGAATTTGTTATAATCTCTTCTGAGACAAAGAATGTAGCAAAGACACATCCAGACAATATAATAAGCAGAAGTGTAAAAAGACATCGTTCTTGCCCTCCTAACTGCTGTGCCAGCCAGCTTCCACTCCAGTCCACAGATGGTAATAAATAACCAATGCATGCGCCTATTCCAATTGTTAATGCATAGACTGAAAATGCTTTCCTGCAAGCCTCTCCTTCTGGGAAAAGGTCAGACAGCAAGGCTTCCAAAGGAGTAAAACAGACCTGTCCACAGGAATCCAGAAGCCCAATTCCGAGCACTAGGACAACCACCTCCATGCCAGCATGATGGTGACCTGTCAGAGTGGCCAGATAACTGGAATATGGGATAATAATGAGACTTAACATAACTCCAAAACACAGAAGCCAGATGAAGGGACGGCGACGGCCGTATTTGCTGCTCCATCGATCACTGGCAGAACCAATCAGGTGTACAACTAAGAGACCAAGAACAGGGCCAAGACCTAAAAAAATTAAAATGTATTATTCATCATATTTTCTTAGACCTATAAATGATATATACTATTGTAAAGTATGATAGTGGGAGTTACAATTTTTTACATCACATGATAATTGTGCTACTGTTTATCAAATCCATATTTTCAGTAAACAATACACTAAAGGTAATTTTAGTGTACCCAAACACAATATACAGGTGAAACTCGAATAATTAGAATATCGTGCAAAGTTCATTTATTTCACTAATGCAACTTAAAAGGTGAAACTAATATATGAGATAGACTCATTACATGCAAAGCAAGATAATTCAAGCCGTGATTTGTCATAATTGTGATGATTATGGCTTTCAGCCCATGAAAGCCCCAAGAACCCCAAATCCACAACCTCAAAAAAGTAGATTATTACATGCAATCAATAAAACAAGGATTGTACATAGAACAATATCGGACCTCTGAAAAGTACAAGCATGCATATGTACTCAGTACTTGGTTTGGGCCCCTTTTGCAGCACTTACTGAAATTACTTTTGCACGATATTCTAATTATTCGAGTTTCACCTGTATGACCCAATTTTATTTGATAAAATATTAAAGAAGAGGTTGCATCGAGCAAATAGATTCCAAATATGTCAAGTCTTAAAATCACACCTGTGTCCATAGTCAACACCTTAAATGCCCTTAGAAGTCATCAATTTGGAGTTAACCATGAATAATGGTCCTAGAATTATTCCTCTCACTCTGACGTTCACAGTGATACCCAATATGTGTAGCACAATCGTTTTTGTACGTAGGCACAAACATACATTTTTGTTCATATGTGCATGTATGTGGGGGCAGGGGGCTTTAAAGACAAAGTCCTCTTTTTACAAAAAAAAATAATAAATGCACACACATTAATAAAATAAATGTTAATTTATTGATTTTTTTTGCATTGGATCCTGCAAACCATTACAACTTTATTCAGTAGATTGCAGGTGCAATGGTCTGATTACTGCAGACACTTAGTTTAGAAAACTGTGGTAAGATTTTATGAAAGCATCTGCCAGTTTTACTAATGTAAGATTGAGAAGAGTAACGCCTTATACAAACACTAAGAGGGAATGCTCTCTGTTTGTTCCTACTGTGAAGAGAGTTGTCCCTGGCACTCTGTGTACAAAGCATATATAGACAAGTGGTCAGTGAATCATTTATGTAATGTTATAACTACTATGTTAATGCTATAGTATAGCGAGTGTCAGTAAATGTGGACTGCAACATCTGCGCATGTTTAATGCTTCAGTTACATTACTTTGTATTGTTCCCCAGTGTGGATTACCGTACCGGGGGAGCACATAAAATGTCAGCAGGAAGTTGAGCATTACCGCTGGATTTGTTCCTGCCTTTAGCTACTATTTGTACTTTGCTAAAAAATTAATGTATGCAGAAGTATATTTCCTAGACCGGTTAAACACAGGTAAGCTTTTATTGTCTAACGCTCTATCAAATGAGCAGTGAAAACGAATTGGTTAACAGGAAGAACGCAAAGATATCTTTCTACCAATTGTAATAACACATTTCCAAGGTGACTTAACTCTAAATTTAGAAATTTTACATAGTTTATCTAGTTTACATACCTAGTACCATGGTCATGAACTTTTCTTCCACTCCAGCTTCAAGAAGCAAAGGTGGCACAAATGTGACCCCAGCTGCCAAACAAACTTCCAGGCCACATGTTAGAGAGTTTACCAGAATAAGTTGTGCTTGGGGGCTCTGCAAATAGTCCCTGAAACCAACCTTCTGCATTATGTCCTTTGCCCTGGGAAGTTTTTACACGTTAATTTGTCTCAGGTCCCCTGTTATACATCCAACAAGACATCTGCAGCTCTGTTCTTGCTTATAAAAGGCCATTTCTAATACAGGAATCCACACATTAAAATAGGATTGTTCTTCTTATGCAGTTTCCTATTCTGAGGTGAGACTTTTTCAAACCTTTACAAGCTTATGCACATTTTCACCTGAAAAACAGAAGAAGAAACGTTACAACCATAAACGTTCTGCACTTTTTGCACAAAGAGAGATATGTAAGCTTTTTAAATCATACAGTACATATATCAGTCCTATATTCAAAGTGACAAGAGATGATGATTGCCCAAACATGCTAATAGTAATTGGATTGGGTAAATAAACAGATGCAGGCCTCACCACTGCAACTTACTTTCGTCAGTAAATATTTAGGGGGTTATTCACAAAGCTGCCGAAGGCAGCAGAGTGCATAACCCAGCCGAAATGAAGTGAGCTGAACTATGCATTAGCTATTCACTCCGGCTCAGTACGGCTGATTTCAGACGTACATCGGCTGAAATCAGCCATACATCGGCTGCACTTCGGTCAGCCAAACATGCTCTTCACATCTGGATTGGCTGAGCTGAAGCTCCGGTAGCTCATTCGCTGCCATTCGCCCCTATTCACATAGGCTCAGCTCGCATTCGGCTCGGCTATTCTGCTTGGTACCTCCGTGGTACCGAGCAGAATAGAAAATCAATGAAAATAGTCGGGGGAAAAAAAAGTTAGAAATGTTTTTCAAAATGTAAATAAATAGTAAAATTGTAAAATACATAAAGAATTTTTGTTTTTTTAAAAAGGCGAATGCGCGCGGTCGCCAATGACAGATGCACTTTAAGTCAGCTCCTCGACTCCCTCAGGCAAACGCTCTATTACCAAGTGGTTTCTCCCCCCCCCCCCCCCCCTCCGCCTGTTTCTCCCCACCACATCGG